ACCCCAGTCAGAATAGCAATCAAGAAAATAAAACAAGAAATGTTGGTGAGATCTCTAGCAATAAAGGAAATGCAAATTAAAACCACACTAAGATTCCACCTCACCCCTGTTAGAATAGCCATCATCAGCAACACCACCACCAACAGTTGTTGGAGAGGATGCGGGGAAACAGGAACCCTCTTGCACTGTTGGTGGAAATGTAAACTAGTACAACCACTCTGGAAAAAAATTTGGAGGCTATTTAAAAAGCTAAACATTGATCTACCATTTGATCCAGCAATACCACTCTTGGGGATTTACCCAAAAGACCGTGACACAGGTTACTCCAGAGGCACCTGCACACCCATGTTTATTGCGGCACTATTCACAATAGCCAAGTTATGGAAACAGCCAAGATGCCCCACCACTGACAAATGGATTAAGAAAATGTGGTATCTATACACAATGGAATTTTATGCAGCCACGAAGAAGAACGAAATGTTATCATTTGCTGATAAATGGATGGAATTGGAGAACATCATTCTGAGTGAGGTTAGCCTGGCCCAAAAGACCAAAATTCGTACGTTCTCCCTCATATGTGGACATTAGATCAAAGGCAAACACAACAATGGGATTGGACTTTGAGCACATGATAAAAGCTTTAGCACACAAGGGAGGGGTGATGATAGGTAAGACACCTAAAAAATTAGCTAGCATTTGTTGCCCTTAACACAGAGAAACTAAAGCAGATACCTTAAAAGCAACTGAGGCCAATAGGAATAGGGGACCAGGAACTACAGAAAAGGTGAGATCAAAAAGAATTAACCTAGAAGGTAACACACACGCACAGGAAATTAATGTGAGTCAACTCCCTGTATAGCTATCCTTATCTCAACTAGCAAAAACCCTTGTTCCTTCCTATTAATGCTTATACTCTCTCTACAACAAAATTAGAGATAAGGGCAAAATAGTTTCTGCTGGGTATTGAGGGGGTGGGGGGGGAGAGGGAGGGGGTGGAGTGGGTGGTAAGGGAGGGGGTGGGGGCAGGGGGGAGTATGCACATATGAATAATAAAACAATAAAAAAAAGAAAAAGAAATGTTGGTGAGGATGCGGGGAAAAAGGAACCCTCATACACTGTTGGTGGGAATGTAGACTAGTATAACCACTTTGGAAATCAGTATGAAGTGTCCTCAAAAAACTAAAAATAGATCTACCTTATGACCCCACCATACTACTCTTGAGCACATATGCAAAGGAGTGTAAATCAATATACAAAGGAGATACCTGCACACCCATGTTTTTTGTACCTCTTTGGCTGAACTGGAATCAGCCAAGTGACCAGTGAATGGATAAAAAAAATATGGTATCGATATACCATGGAATATTACTCAGTCATAAAGAAAAATGGAATTAAGTTACTTGTTGGAAAATGGATAGAACTGGAAATCATTATGTTGAGTGAGATAAGTCAAGTTTAAAAGCCAAATATCACAAGTTCTCATTCATCTGTGTAACCTAAACCTAAAATGATGATGATGGTAACAATGATAATAAAAGGACATGAATGTGAAAGGGGGTCATCTGAGGCAGGATCATATATATATATAGGTATAGGTATATATAAATGTATATTAAGACAGCATAATGAAACCCACTAAACACTATTTAAAAAAGGGGAGAGAAGGGAGAGAAAACGGGAATATAATGGAGGGATGAATTTGTTCAAAGTACACTGTGCACATCATGTATGGAATCATCACAATGAAACCCCCTCATATTATTAACATATGTTAATACTAAAATAAAATAAAACTTTAAAATCCTTTAATATAAATTTACTCCAATTTTTTGGTAGTACTGAGTTTTGAACTCAGAATCTTGTGCTTGCTAGCAAGCACTTTACCATGTAAGCCATACCTCCAGCCTTAAATTCATTCTTTCTTTTAGAGGATTTTCTGATAGCTACAAACCTTGAAGAAAGACATCTGAGATTTGTTTGATTTTGTCGTGATTTGACATTTACTTTTGTAGGTTCTCTTGCATATGATTTTTGCCAGTGAAATATGAAGAGAAAGAAGGACTAGAAGATTCTAATTCTTCCTGAAGATTTAAAAACTTACATTTTATTACACGAGGAGCTGCCAAACTATTACCAATTTGTCTGTGGACATTATATAGCCACGTGTCTCATATTTGGGATAGGGGCATATATTCTCTAATTTAAATATCAATCCTGTTGTTCCAGAAGTACATTTTTAATTTCTAGCACTGCATTCTAACTTTTGGTTTAGAAAATATGATTAGAGAGCTAGAAAAAGCAATGCTTTGCTGGGCACTGGTGGCTCACACCTGTAACCCTAACTATCCAGGAGGCAGAGATGAGAAGGATTGTGATTTGAAGCCAGACCAGGACAAACAGCTCCCGAGACTTTATCTCAAAAAATCCATCACAAAAAAGGGCTGGTGGAATGGCTCAAGTGGTAACAGTGCCTGCCTAGCAAATGTGAGGCTCTGAATTCAAACCCCAGTGCCCAAAAAGAAAAAAAAAAAGCAATGCCTTGACTACTTCAGGGTAGACAATTTTCATTATATTCTCTATTTTATGCAAACAGTACTTCATGGAGTTCTGTAACACATTCATACTTTTCATATTATAAATATTTAGAAATACTAGATAAAACAAAGCCAACATCTTTTAAATGTAAGGCTATACTAGCCATAAATTAAGGAGCAAGGAAAATCCAGAATAGTAAGCATAATCTGAAGCTATTCTTGTCCTGGATGGGTAAGGAATTGCTAATTTTAATAATCTCATAACTTGAGTTTTAATTTATCCCTCCAGAGGGACAAGAGGGCAAGTATTACAATCTTGAGAGGGAGTACACTGGAACTAAGAACCCTTCATAAAGCCAAGATCCTTAAAGGGCAATACCATTAGTGAAAGTATGGTCTAAAAAAACAAATCAACCCACTGCCAAGACAGTTTGAGTATCTTAATTTGGAGCACTGGGGATCAGTGAGTGGAGGGTCCTTTCCTGAGCAGCTGAATCCTCATGTGGTATGGAGAACATATTTATACTTCATCCAAACTTGGGCCTGGAAGGTGTCACCATTGGGTAACTTGGAAGAAGCAAACATGAAATCCCTTTAGAGGAATATAATCTCAACTCAGATCACTTAGAATTCCCATAGAGAAAGTTCCCCTAAAGATGGCCTTGAGAAAAATCAAGACGTGAACTGTGCATGTTAAGTATGTCTATAATCTCGGCTCTCAAGAGGTTGAGTCAAGGGTATCATGAGCTTGAGTCTAGCCTGGGCTACATAGTGAAACTGTTCCCAAAACAAAAATTATTAAGAAATAAAAAAATGACAGAAATCACAATGTGCTAAACAGGCAGACTATTTCAATAGGAGCACTACTCACAGACCCATGTGTTCTATGAAAAGAAAGCTGCTTTCCCAAAAGGAGACTATTTCAACAATGAGCTTCACCTCTGGTAACAAACTAATCAGACACTGACCAGTTACAGAGTTCAACTAGGGCCTTGCTGGTTAACTTCCCCGACTCCCTGAAATCACTCTTTGACAAATTATTCTCCTTATACAACGTAAGTGCTCAAGCTACTTGGGGAGTTCATTTAACAAAATTAATTTGGACAGCAATTCCCTAACTTGGCCAGTTTCTAACACATCTCTTCTTTTTCTTAATCGTAACTGACCTCTTAGTGTCTTATGGGAGGTTTCAACAATTCAAAACACTTGAGGAAACAATCCACTATGGGTAAGAATCAGTGGACAAAACAAACAGTAGGATTAGATGCCTAAGAATTAGGTGATTAAATACTATAGCTACTGGGTGTTTTAAAAGGCTGTCATCAGAAAAGCTGGATCTCAATCTTGAACTCTTTCACATTTGCACTTTCTTTTTTTAAACTTTGATATTTAAAATTATTATTCTAGTTATTGAAGTTGCAAATGAAAAACGCAAACACTAGCAAAACAAGGTTTGTACTTTCTTTTATTTTGGTACTGGGGGCTTGAACTGAGGGCCTTCACCTTGAGCCACTCCACCAGCCCTATTTTTGTGAAGGGTTTTTTGAGATGGGGTCTTGTGAACTGTTTTGCCCAGGCTGGCTTCAAATCGTGATCCTCCTGATCTCCGCCTCCTGAGTAACTAGGATCACAAGTATGAGCCACTGGCGCCCAGATGCACTTTCTTGAAATCATTCGTCTGCTCACACTAGTGAATTTTGTTGAATTGTTTCCATCCCTTAAGGCCTGGTATAGACAATATCTCCTTCAGAAAGTCTTCCTTGGTTCTTTGCCAGCTATGATTTCTATGACAATTTGTTGTACACTTTCTAATAGTCTTCATATTTTGCCCTGTGTAGGAATAGGCCAGCCTTCTTCTAGTCCTGCTAACACTTTGGTAGCTATGATTAAACACCACAGCAACAGATTGAATATGAAAACTGTCTTTAGATTGCTAACAGGAAAGATGACCAGAACAAAGGCTACAGCAGAATGGCCAGTGAGCCATGTCAGAATTCATTCATGTTCTGAAAACAAATGTCTCCATGCTAACTACTACACTGATCTAATCACTTGCATATTAATTAATGCTATATTAATTTATTTGATATGCTATCTCATTTTTATTTTCACAAACATCTTCTAAGGTAGAGAATATTATTTCCATTCTATAGGAAAGAGAAATGAGGCCCAGAGATAGCTCAAGTAACATGGCAAGATCAGGATAACATCTAGAAACAAATCTAGATAACATCTAGAAACAAATTTTTAGAGAAGCTGCCCAGCACATGAGAGACCCTGGGTTTGATCCCCAGCACACAAAAACAAGTTAAAATTAAATACAAATAAATTCTTCTTATGTCCAGCTCAAGGTTCTTTTCACTGTCCTGAATTGCCTTTCCAATGTACCCAGCATGTCAAGCTTTAACAAGGCTGACCCTCTCCCATAACTGGTGTCCTTAAAATGTCTTCCTTAACACAACTTACCTGCCATTCATCAGCTTCAGGACAGAACGGTTGTTAACTTGATTGTCACTTTGGTGCCTTTTCTAAAAATCACACAAAGAAACATTCATGAAACAAAGAGCAAGCTACAGGAGAATTTTAACATTTAGCAATATTACCCAATATAGTTCTCCTTCTTTATAATTCTCCTTTTCTCCCCAACCCAAAGCCCTTCCAGCAATAAAACCAGGCCAAGAGGCTGATGTCTTGAAAGCTGTGAAAGAAAGTCAGGAAAAGAACCCAAGAAGAAAGAAACAAAAACTTGGTGTTAAATATCAAAGCTAAAGCCTAGGGATGTAAGAACAAACAAGTAAGTCAAAAGCTACAGAGGGCTAAGCTGGCTCAAGTCTGTAATCCTAGTTACTAGGAGAGGGAGCTAGAAGGAGAGAGGGAGGATTGCACTTTGAGGCCAGCTTGGACAAAAAGTATTTGAGACCCAATTTCAACCAATAAAATGCTGGGTGTGGTGGCACATGCCTGTCATCCCAGCTATGAAGGCAGCATAAATAAGGGAATCACAATGCAGGCCAGCCTAAGCATAAATGTGAGGACCCTATCTCAAAACTAACTATACTGAAAAAGGGCTGGGAGTGTGGCTCAAGTGGTAGAGTACCTGAGTTCAAATCCCAGTACCAGAAGAAAGAAAAGCCACAGAGGATAGGGTACACAATGATGAGCAGAATGAGTCCCCTGCACCTGCCCAGATGACCTAGTATTCTCAAGCACATTCCCACCCCTACCCCAACTGTGGTAGATGTATAGAAAGAAGTATTTACAATGGATGCAAGAAGGTAACAAGCCAATACTCAAAGACCAAATAGCAAGAAAGCAAATATAGGATATATCCTAATGCCAGGATTCATATGAATTGCCTCCTTCCAGGTCACTCTCTGGGGAAAGGGTAGGTCTAGGAAGGGGACAGAGAGAATCTTTTTTTTTTTTTTTTCATTTTTCTTTTATTATTCATATGTGCATACAAGGCTTGGTTCATTTCTCCCCCCTGCCCCCACCCCCTCCCTTACCACCCACTCCACCCCCTCCTCTCCCCCCTCAATACCCAGCAGAAACTATTTTGCCCTTATCTCTAATTTTGTTGTAGAGAGAGTATAAGCAATAATAGGAAGGAACAAGGGGTTTTGCTGGTTGAGATAAGGATAGCTATACAGGGCATTGACTCACATTGATTTCTGTGCGTGGGTATTACCTTCTAGGTTAATTCTTTTTGATCTAACCTTTTCTCTATAGTTCCTGTCCCCTTTTCCTATTGGCCTCAGTTGCTTTAAGGTATCTGCTTTAGTTTCTCTGCATTAAGGGCAACAACTGCTCGCTCGTTTTTTAGGTGTCTTACCTATCCTCACCCCTCCCTTGTGTGCTCTTGCTTTTATCATGTGCTCATAGTCCAATCCCCTTGTTGTGTTTGCCCTTGATCTAATGTCCACATATGAGGGAGAACATACGATTTTTGGTCTTTTGGCCAGGCTAACCTCACTCAGAATGATGTTCTCCAATTCCATCCATTTACCAGCGAATGATAACATTTCGTTCTTCTTCATGGCTGCATAAAATTCCATTGTGTATAGATACCACATTTTCTTAATCCATTCGTCAGTGCTGGGGCATCTTGGCTGTTTCCATAACTTGGCTATTGTGAATAGTGCCGCAATAAACATGGATGTGCAGGTGCCTCTGGAGTAACAGTCTTTTGGGTATATCCCCAAGAGTGGTATTGCTGGATCAAATGGTAGATCGATGTCCAGCTTTTTAAGTAGCCTCCAAATTTTTTTCCAGAGTGGTTGTACTAGTCTACATTCCCACCAACAGTGTAAGAGGGTTCCTTTTTCCCCGCATCCTCGCCAACACCTGTTGTTGGTGGTGTTGCTGATGATGGCTATTCTAACAGGGGTGAGGTGGAATCTTAGTGTGGTTTTAATTTGCATTTCCTTTATTGCTAGAGATGGTGAGCATTTTTTCATGTGTTTTCTGGCCATTTGAATTTCTTCTTTTGAGAAAGTTCTGTTTAGTTCACATGCCCATTTCTTTATTGGTTCATTAGTTTTGGGAGAATTTAGTTTTTTAAGTTCCCTGTATATTCTGGTTATCAGTCCTTTGTCTGATGTATAGTTGGCAAATATTTTCTTCTCCT